ACTGGAGGAAACTGACAAAAGTGATCTAATTTCCAAGTTGGTGGACTCCAAAATAAAGGAGGACACACAGATTATTAAAAATATGAAACTCCTCAATCTGTGTAATTGATATAAGTTCTTTTCACGAATAAACTTTTATCATTTCCCCCCACAAACGTTCGGTTATCTTACAGTCGATGCGTCAGCAACCATAGTCGAAATGGAGAAAATGTACTTTTCTAACGCGCTCGGCCAAAAGAAGCAACCATATAATTTATTAGTACTATAAAAATTTTGCGAGTGACCTAGGGTAATACCATGCACATGCCCGTGCATGAGGATCAAAACGTTTGGCAATGAGACAAATAGATTTGGGAAAAGTCATGATGTTGCACGAGTTTGGTTAATACCTGTAGTTCTCGGCCACACTGCCTTGTGGGTCAAACTTCTGAGTCACAGGCTCCAGTTACAGTTCTCAAAGAAAAACCCCTGCGTCGGTGTGGACTGCGCGAAGTGTGTCATGCCCCGAAGTCTTAGATACCCAATGGGAAAACCCCCTGAATCAACTGTCCAGTTCTTCCGCTCACCCCCAAATCTTAGGAGATGCCTCCTGTATGCACCACCCTTGGGATACCACTCAGTGTTCCACTAGTAAGATCAACCAGATTGTTGAGATCAAAATTCCGATTCCAATTGGCCGTTTTTATTGTCCGCAGCGACGTTACCACACGTAACACAGTTTATGTAAAAGGGCATTGAAGGAGTGAGTTCAGGAAATGCTTAGAAGCCCCGCTCCGCTTGCCACGTTTCGCAGTCTCGGCACACGAATGAAATCAGTCACACTATTAGATACGGTCTACACAACATTTTTGTTGCCGACCTCAAGAGACCACAACAGTACTATTTGGACTGCATTCAATTGTATGAGGTCAATAAAGTGTGCAAAGACACACACACACAACCGAGAGTGAACGACGTATCAGGTCGATTCAATTCGCACGTGCCCGATTAACAGAAATGAGGAGTGTTGATAGCAAATTCAGTAGAAGAGAAAATCAATCAATGACAGAAAACGTTTCTTCTCTTCTCTAATCCGGTGTACACAATGAACCGCACAAAGTGAAGGAAATGACGAAGAATTCGATCCCCTTGCGTACGATTCACGTGGAGCAACTCGGAGAATAGGTGGTCGTCACACACTCGAGCTGATACCGGTCGCATTCCAACTACTTTAGTGCACCAATCAACTGCGGTAATAAGGACTGTGTATTCGAG